TTGTAAATAATTAAAAACTAACTACCACAGTAAGTGGCACGTATTGTAGCCTGAATTGTACAAAAGAAAGCTAAAGTGTCAAAGAACAAAAACATGGAAATGCCATGATGTTATGATTTGTACGTTTCAATTACACTTTATAAGCTCCCACTCTGCATATTTCGTGTTTTAATTTTTAGCTTACCAGCCTCAAATCCAGACAAAAGAGGAGGACTGATGCAGTAAAACTTAGTTTGATAATTAGGCGTAATAACACATTGTTTTCCATCCCTAAATTTTAGTAACAGATTAGATCAGTTGTCCAATAGAGCTAAACGAATATCACTCAACACTGCAGAAACCAGCTCAGACTTAGTTATAAAACTATTCAACTTAGGTACATGGGCATATATAGACATCAATTTATAGAGTTCTGTACTAGTTGTTGTGCCAGTTGGATCATGTGTACCGGGAAAGAAATAGAGAAGTCCAGGACCCCCACATGATACATGTGAGAGCTTAAGTCTCAAGAGAAGTTGAATGAAAAAACAATTTCCTACACAAATGGTAAAGCCAATTATGGACTATTCAACATAGCCTAACATATTTCCAGCCTTCACAAGGTTCAGGTTCCTCCTTGTTCCCTACCAGTCACATTAAAGTTCAACCTAAATCCTAAATCTCACCATCTTGCTCCCCCAACCCCATCTTATCTTTTTCACTCTCCATCTCCCTGAAGATGGTGTGCTCAATAGAATCTCTAAACCCATATTAGCACAAGAAACAAATACTTCACTAACCAAAAGCAAGGAACTGAAAAGGACCCACTAGTGTAGTGGTTTGGAGTAATTGCTTCCCAAGACAAGGTTCTGGGTTTGAGCCGTAGCATCCTAAAATAAAGAACACTTTTAACTCCCAGAGAAGAAGCTATCAACCAAACCAAACAAACCAAGAAGCACCATCCAGCAAGATCAATTAATTCACTATTCTTTAACCACCATCAAATTTTAAGTTTCCCCATTTATTGGTATCCCTTCAATTCAACACCGTCAACAACTCTTAATTTCTATGTAAAAGTCATTAACAAAAGGGCCATCTTTTTATCTGTTATAATTATGAAAAGCATCAGCAACCTTCCTCCATAAAGATTACAATGAATGGGTATGGTGGCATAGCCAAATCATTAGAACCCACTTCCTAATGACTCTCAAATGCTCAATAAAGCCCACCATAATGTCAATCTTCTGTTATGGGCAATTTCCATATGGCTTTATCTCATTTGTCTCATGTCTTGGACACATTTCTGCTGCTTACCAACCTCCAGTACCAAGATTTAAAATTTCTAAAATGAAATCAATCAACAACCTTCACTTCCCATGTATTAACACTCTCATGAAATGGAAAGATATGCAGGTGCACAATAAAGACATACATAACGGCCATGGAAGTTGAAGTTTGATGCTTGAAATAAACCAAAAATAGGGTTATCTTACTCTTAGGAAGGGAAGAAAACGATAGTTTGCGCACAGCCAGCTCCATCATTTACTGTGTTTCCGAGTAAGGCAAACCACCAGGCTCCGAGGAATATGATTTGCTCTGGTCTCTTAATCTTAACTGCCTTATCTTGGCTGCTGGGGCTGGTCTCTATTTGCCATTGATTATGTATACAATTTCAGAACTGCCATTTTATTTTTGGAATTCAAAATTAGACATGGTAAGGATTTGGGTCGTGTTGGATTGTGCGAAAATATCTAAACATAACACGACCACATTAAGCTAATAATGAGTGAAGAAATGCAAATAACCCATTGAAATAATTTTAGTAAATAAATAAATCACTAAACTACCGGAATAGTACTAAAAATAAGTAGCCAATTGGTTCACTCGTTTTCAACACCACCCAATAAACTTCAGCCTTAACATTGAATTTTTTTGTGAGTGTTCATATTATGTTAACAAGCCGTATACAATTTTTTTTTTTTTTTAATCTACTCAAATTGTGCATAATCTTAGTAGAAATTTGTTGAAAATGGGACATATATGTGACTCAATTATGCTAAAGCTCTTACATTAAAATTGAATGTAATAAGGAGCACACCACGACTAATCTCTTTACATGCAATCATATGCAAATAACATGTAAGGTAAATTCATATATTTTTTTAGGTTGGAAGTTTAAACAAAGGATGTCTAAGTTTACAACTCGTTTCATATTCATTCTTACTTTTGAACCTCCCTTATATATAGTATATATAGGGGTAAAGATGTCTTTGACACTGAACATACATATTTCTCCAACAACAAGAAGAATAAAAAGAACACATACATATTTCTTTACCATAATATCAATTCTTGAAAGTTGGTACTGTCTATTTCGCTAGCATAAGTATATGTCCTACTGCATTGAGAACATTAATCTTTATGTGAAATGTAGTTGCTGATCTACAATTCTCAAAAGAGTCGAATTAAATTTCATAAAAGTTGCTAAACCCACGATGCAAAAGATGTCAATGGATAGTGGTTGCAGCAATCAAATTAATTCCTTCATAAATATCTTTAATGTCTTCTTCTTCTTCTTCTTCTTCTTCTTCTTCTTCTTCTTCTTCTTCTTCTTCTTCTTCTTCTTCTTCTTCTTCTTCTTCTATTTGCATTTTGTTTGTTGGAGAGGCAATTACTGTGGGAGTAAAGCTTCTCAATTGCTTCATTATTTGCATTTTGTTTGTTGGAGAGGCAATTACTAGATGGTATGGACTTTATTATAATTTATAATATGCTTTTTTTTCCTTCTGGAATTAAGAAACATCCTAATTATCTTAACAAAGGAAGTAGTTGGGCAATTTTTGAATCCTTGTTACTCTACTATTTAGTAGTTGCTTGCTTATGGGTAGATGCTCCTAATGCGATCATGTGGCGGTGTTACGGTCATATTTAAAAATTATCCTTATTAACAAGTTTTTAAAGAAAACGTCCTAAATATTATTTTATCACACAAGTTAAATCTAACTTTCATGTATTTTAATTAAGCACCTCTGTTTTCATTCTCAGTATGTTTGTTCAATTTATGTTCTTTTTTTTGTCTTTTTTTCTTTTTTCAGATTTCTTATAACAAAGGTACAAATGGTGAGTGTACTGCAGATACTTCTTAAATCCTAAAGTTGTTGGGCTTCTATGAAGTTTCCTTTCAACCAAAATTAAAATTTTAAAAATAAAAAAAATTTGTCACTTGGCGCCTCTCTCTCTCTCTCAAAATCAATTTCACTTTTTTTGGGTTTGGAAAAAGGAAAAAAAATTTGAATTGATCTGGAGTTAATAATGGGAAGATATGGAGGGGCGGGTGCAAACCGTGCCATATGACAGAAGCTCACGGGCATCCTCCTTTCTCTAGGGTCTAAAAAAGCACCCACCACACACCAACTCATATCATATCATCAGTCATACTCATCACCACCACCACAACCCCAAAACTAATATTTGCATTTGAATTTGCTAGCGATGAGCTGTGCACCCTCTGCCTTGTTCAGCTACTCACGAGCCCATTTAAGACCCCTTTTCAATTTCACCTCCTTTTCCGCAACACTAGCCCCATAAATAAAACCCCCTATAAACCCCTCTCATCCTCAACCCAACCCTCAAATTTACATTACATTACATTCCTCACAAACCCAAAAAACCCTCACTCAAAACATATTTCAGACATGTCCTCCTCTATTCTTTGCGTTGCCCTCATATATTCCCTGCTCTTCTTCACTTGTTTTGACGTCTCTTTGGCTGCAAGAAACATCCCGTCTAGCGCCCCGAGCACGATGGTGAGGCCTTTGGTCACGGAGGGGCTAGATCACTATGTGAGCATGAAGCCTCAGGGTTTGAATCACAAGCAACAAGTTTTTCATGGGACGGAAGTGAAGGATTGCTTGCCAAAAGGGTTTAGGCATGCCTCGGCTCCAAGCCGGTATGTGAACTATCACACACTTGGCCAAGGCTGTTCTTCTATGCGCTCCAAGAAACCTTGATGGGGAAGACTGGGGAAAAGGATTCAAGTGTTGTTTTGCATATGATTTCCGCGTTTTATGAGTGGTGGATTAATGGATTGTATGTCCCGGTTATACATATTACAAATTGTCTCTCACAATATGCATGTGAGTCTCACTGTTTTGTGGTGAATTTACTCGCGTATTGTGAGAGTGATTTTATAGAATTGGCACTTATGAAGATTCTTAAAAAGTGATGAAATTGAAAAACGTACAAGTGTTAAGTCTACTTTTGAGTTATGATCGTTAAATAAAAAGTGGTTTATTTAATTTATTACATTTATTTTTCACTCATATCAAGAAGTTTTTGAACCTAAGATTCTCCCATGCGCCATTTTTCTTTTCTTTATTTTTATACAGCTATCCTTCCTACGTTTTGATCATAGAATGCAAAAGGCAAATATTTGGTTGACTTTGAATCTCCAGCAAAAATTTCATATGAATTCTTTATAATAAATAAATAGAAAGTTCATTTCACGTGAATAGTGAGATTGTGTTCACATCAGGGTTATAAAGTGGTGACCAATTTCCGACATTTCTCTTAATTTTTGAGAGTCATCATCCATGACACCAGGCATTAAAACCTGGCCCATCTCAAAAGGGTGAGAAGTCGTGCACCTGACTTGAAACCGGCCTAAAACAAAATCACATCATCTGCAATTTGATCTATAAAATACCTAGAATTCTTGGAATATTTCAGTTTCTCTTGTCCATTAATTTAGGTGAAGGCTCGGGTAATTCCACAAAATCCAGCCACTCCAAAATAATTTAGAGCTGAGATTAAAACTACCCTCCCAATCCACCATAGATCATCCATAGACCAAAGTCAAGTAGGCAAGCCGGGAGCAGCGAACTCTATACTCACCGCTCCAAGTCGCAATCCATCCCATCTGACGAGGAACAACAAAGCAAAACCAGTAGCATCTAACTCGACTTCATCCAGTACAGACAACTTATCTATTTAAACATAACAAATTCCATGAACATAGTAAGTGGCTTTTTTCAATCCATCCATCCATTGATTGATAGAAATTGATTAACAGTATATGAAACTTGAAACAGCATGTCATCCTAGCAAACCCCACAAACTCTTTAATACACAGAAGACTAGTCATAACTATGAAAAGGAAAGGCTTCCTCCAGGGTGACACGAGGAGCAGACAAAAGCATATCAGTAGACACAAATGTCACCCGAAACCATACATATATAAATAAATATTAACTATACAAATCATCTTCGTCAGCCCCACCAGCAGAAGTTGCGAATGGATCAGCACCAGTTGCCCCAGTTTGGTTATCAGCAAACCTAAACTCAGTTCCGAAACCCCTGGACTGCTGCAAGGTCTGAGCAAAGGCCTGATATTTGCGAATATCTGCATCGCTGACACTCCTACGAGCATATTTCATTGACTCCTCAAAATGAGCAGCTTTAATCTCTGCCACTTCGTCATCGATGTCCTCATCCATAGAATCCGGATTCTCCCCTCTCCTTCTCTCCCGCTCTATATCCTGCAATCACATCATGGGTTAATGATATATAGAACTTGTGCAGAATTTACGTTACATGCAGTGTCAATCCATGTCTACAAGGCTAGATAACCACATCCCAAGTTTTGGGATGTGAACCAGAGAGATTTGCATGTTTCATCAAATGGAACCACCCTGTTCAAAGCCATTCCCTTTTTGCATAAAAATATTGCCATATAAAGCCCCTAATCGGTACAGCCAAAAGAGACGAGCACAATGAAATCAGATATGCAAGGCTTGAAAATCAAATTGGAAGGTTCCAAGTTAACAGCTCTGAACAAGCAGAGCTTGTAGTTTCGAGAAATAACTTAGTTAAGCAGCCAGGTTCAGTTATTCATGCGAGAAAAAGTTTGTACTTCACATTTGGTCAAGAGGAAAGGTACAATCACGAAAATTTAAGCTATCAACGTTTATGACCAGTATAAAGAGCAATTAGGAAGGTGAAGAAGCAACAAGGACAAATGAGGAGATACCTTCTCAATATTTTCTCTTATGGCATACTTGCAGGACCGCTGGCAGATCTCTGTGATATCAGCCCCACTAAAGCCCTGTGTATACCTGGCCAATGCTCTCAAATCAACATCTTTTGAGACAGGTGATTTTCTCAAGCAGGATTTAAAGATTTGGAAACGCGATTCTTCATCAGGAAGAGGAATATAAATCAATTGATCAAGACGGCCAGGTCGGAGAAGTGCTGGGTCAATGATGTCAGGTCGGTTTGTGGCCCCAATAATGAAAACCGTCTTTTTTGCTGTCATGCCATCCATTTCAGTGAGGAGTTGGTTAAGAACCCGATCAGCAGCACCCCCTGCATCCCCAGAACTGCTTCCTCTCTGCAACAATCAGTGAGAAATAAAATCAACAAATCAAAAGGTAACAAAAGCAAATTATGGGCATCCTAACAAGGTTAAATTACTACTATTCTGCTATTCAACTATAATAAAGCAAACACTTCTCCTACACAAACTAATAAGCAAATGGAACCAAATTTGCAGTTCAAATTTCAGATGACTTTAATGTATGAAAAATCACATGTGCATAGTTAAAAGCAAATAAAAGTCAATAAACAATAAAACTGACCTGCGTAGCAATGGAATCAAGCTCATCAAAGAAAAGGACACATGGTGCAGATGCACGAGCCTTGTCAAAGATTTCTCGAACATTGGCTTCACTCTCACCAAACCACATGGTGAGTAGTTCAGGGCCTTTGATACTGATGAAGTTAGCTTGACATTCATTTGCAATTGCCTTGGCCAAAAGAGTTTTCCCACATCCTGGGGGTCCATAGAAAAGGACCCCTTTAGAAGGTGACATGCCAAATTTCTCAAACTTCTCTGGGTGCTCGACGGGATATTGAACAGTCTTCAAAAAAACAAGGCAGAAACAAAAAAGTCTTAGTTGTAAGCACTAAGCAGCGAAAGGAAAAAAACCATACAAGATATAAACAGAAATCCAATACAATAAACGTTATTACCTCTTGTAGCTCCCGCTTGACATTTTCAAGGCCTCCAATATCCTCCCAACTAACATTGGGCACTTCAACAACCTGACCCAAATCAAAGAATAGAAAGAAAGATTTAAAAAAAAAAATCATATTTCAAAAATATAAAATGATAATTCTATACAACAGTAGATGGAATCCAAGCCGAATAACACTCACTGTTTCGCGCAAAGCAGATGGATTGCTTGTTCCTAGAGCAGTCTGGAAGTGCTCATTTGTTACAGCCATTGAGTTGAGTATCTCCGCATCAATGGTTTCATCTTCCAAGTCAATCACATCCATCTTCTCCCTAATGCATTGCAGTGCAGCTTCAGTGCAGAGAGCAGCAAGGTCAGCGCCAACATACCCATGTGTATCTTTGGAAATCCTCTCTAAATCAACCTGAACAGCAGGAAGCATAATTTATAACAGCTGAAGGAAGATAAAGAATGAACAACATAAACCAGATTGGCATTTAAGAAAGAAACTTCTACAAATGATCCAGGCCAACTTTGCGAACACATAACCAGATTTTTCAAACTTACAGTATGGTCCATCAAACCTATGCTTTAGTAATCATATGACACGTATAACTTGCAGTTTCCTTTTGCGTTATAGGATAACTTATGGTGTCACTAGTTTGTTTAAACAGATCCAGTTAGTATTTGGGAACCAAAACTGTCATCATCTATTCCAGATACAGTACATGCTTTGCCTTTAAAACAAACTTTGAGAAAAAGAACAGGTTCAACTTACATCATCAGAGAGTTTCATGTTCTTGGTGTGAATGCGAAGAACTTCAAGGCGCCCAACTTCATCAGGAACACCAATGTCTATCTCCCTATCAAACCTACCAAACCTTCTCAAAGCCGAGTCAATACTGTTTGGACGATTTGTAGCACCAATAACAATAACATGAGCTCTAGATTTCAATCCGTCCATCAGAGTCAAAAGTTGAGAAACAATCCGCCTTTCGACCTCACCGTGTGTCTTCTCCCTCTTAGGAGCAATTGAATCAATCTCATCAATAAAGATGATTGATGGGGCATTCTTCTCCGCTTCTTCAAATGCCTTTCTGAGATTGCTCTCACTCTCTCCAGCCAATTTAGACATAATCTCTGGCCCATTAATGCAAAAGAAAAAAGCACCAGTTTCATTGGCAACAGCTCTGGCTATTAATGTCTTTCCTGAACCTGGGGGTCCATAAAGTAGAATTCCTTTTGGTGGTTTCACACCAATAGATTTAAACAGTTGAGGATGCCTCAGTGGCAGCTCAACTAATTCACGGATTTGAGCCATCTGCTTCCGAACACCACCCACATCATCATAACCAACTTCATCCAACCTTTCCTCATCCTCCCTTTTTACTGGTTCCCCCTCACAGAAGATCTCAGTGTCTGGGGCAACCACACAATATTCTCCTGGGTCTGTTTCAATAACCTTGAACTCTACACTTCTCATTCCTCCTCTTACAAGGAACAGATCTCCTTTCCTCACAGGGCGATAAGCTTCCAAGAAGTAAGCTGCAGACAAAACAAAGGAATAGAGCAAGCCAAATTTTAATATCAAGTCTCAAAAATAAATCTAAGGAAATTTAGCCTAAAGGAATATAATCCTATCCTAGACAAAAAAATCAGATGCTAGACAGCATGTCGAGACAGTGAAAATCATTTGCAGAAGCCTTTCAGATTCTCCATGAATGGCATGTACAGATAACATGGACTGGGAAGCAATCCAAAGAAAAGCCAAACTATTTCTGCAGATTTGAGATAAGAACTTATAGAAAGGGCTACAGAAAGGAATAAAAACAAATGTGCAAAGCCATTAACCTCTTCCCAGACCAACAATCCCCACAATGACCCTGGGAAAGCAAAAGTTGTCGAAACTCTAGGACGATCCCTAAGTCAATAACAATTTCAAAAGGAAATAATGACTAGCAAAAGAGGTCAAGAACTCACGTTTCAAAAAGGCATCAAAGAGATTTCCAGTAACTCCTTCTATGGAGTCATCAATAGGCAGAATGTGAACACGTTTCCCATACTTCACATCAGGGCATTGGTGTACAGATACAACATCTCCAAGTCGAACCCTCAAATTCGATCTGACAACCTTGTTCATCCTGATTCTTGGCTCTTCACAGGTGTCATCAGCAAGTGCAATGCAGATTGTGTCCTTCCGTTTCTTCCCCTGAAAACTCAATTACAGATAATTAAATAAACAACACATAAACAAATAAAACAACTGCAAATTAAAAAAACAATGTCAAACTTGGGTAGGCTCCCGTTGTTATAATGTAATGAGCATTTATTGGCTTCATGCTGCCATGCATCAAACAAGTTCAGATTATGCAAATTTGATAACCTTTACTTTTTATAATTCGAAAGCTTGACCTTCCAAACCAATGAGTACACAAAGCAACCCAACTATGGTTTTTAAACACAGTTGCAATTTCTGAATCTAAGGTAAGTAGTTTCAAAGAAAATACAGGTTATGCAAAATTAAATGCCCTAAAACCTTATCCTAACAAAGCCCTAGCGTGATACTTTATTTATAAAAATATATTGACAAGCTACCAATAACAAATCAATAATTTTCTATTAGCAAAAAAAAAAACCTTGATGAGAATAGTGTCGCCGCGGAAAAGCTGGAGCTTTTCCATGGTCTCTGGATGCATCGAAACGACAGAGTTGTCGTCGTTTATAGCCTCATCGACGACGAGACGGTTCGGCGACTTCTTCCGCTCCAGAATCGCGGTCGAGAAGTCCTTCTTCTTCCTGGAATACCATGAAATCCACAATCAAAACTGAAGATTTACAAAAATAAAAAATTGAAAAAACAAACTTCAATACATAAAAATTATTACTTTAAAACAAAAAACGAAAAATTGATGGTAGATTTTGGAATATAATGGCAGTGGGTTGACTTACGAGTCGGACGATTCGGCTGGGTGAGCCATGGTGGAGATTTCAGAGATCAGGAAGTACGGTAGACGAAAAGCAAACAGACCAAGAGAGAGAGAGAGAGTGTTTGTGTTTTCGTGTGTGTGTGTGGATATATATCTGGGCCTGAGTTTTATGGCTTGTTTGGCACGAAAATCGAAGAAATATTTCTAACTGGGTTGTTTGGTTATGTGGAGAAGGAGTAACCCGAATTGGACTTGGAATAGGAATAGAAGTTGGAATGGGAATTACGTCTACGGTGCACCAGGGGTATCGCTGCACCAACTTTTTAAATAATAAATAAATATACTTGTTGAACTGGCTTTTCTAGGAACCCGGTCAAGGGTTTAATGCAATTGCAAATTTCAAATTGCAATTGATTACAATTCATTCAATTAATTCGTTTATTTCACAACACTTGATGTGAAATAAAGTGTTTTCTCTTTTCATAATTGCATCCCAAAAATGCAAAAGCATGCAAACGAGTTACCGATTGCATATTTAAATTGTAAAAGTATGCTTATACATTAGCAATTGCACAATAGGAGTCACAGTATGGTATTTGGATATAAAAAAAACATACATTCCAACATGTTGGTATTTCTTTCCAAAACGTAGTGAGAAATAGAGGAAGAGCCAAGTTCTCTATTTTTGAAAAGTCCTTATTTTAGTAAACAAAGGGTTTACAATATTAATAACCGTTAGAGTACCAAAATATCGTAAAAATAATCCCTAAACTTGTAAATCAAGTTTTGGGTATCGATTTAAATTTTTTTACACATGGATTATAACGTTAGGGGTCGTTTGGTACATTGAACTGTTATGGACTTGACTAAATCCTGGGATTGTCTTGGATTAGCTCAGATTAGCCTAAGCTGGATTAAGTACTGACCTACGTTTGGTGCTGCATCGGACTAAGAAGCTGGATTGTAAAAGTAATGAAGACCTATGTTTGGTGCTCTATCGGACTAAAAAATAATTCTTGTAATATTTAATTTTAATTATTGATTTTAACCTAAAAAATAAATAAATGCTACAAAGACACCCAATTCAAAGATTTATAACAATATACCACTTTGACCAACACTTTACCCCTTACGGGCGCGACCCGGTGTGAGCGGGGATTAGTCTGGGTTGTGGTTAAGGCTTAAAGGTGCCACCCATAGTTGGGGCCCATCCAGGACCACCTCGTGGTTCAGACCAAAAAAAAAAAAAGATTTATAACAATATCTGGTATAAAAAAAAGATTTAAAACAATAATAAAAAGAAAATAAATAAAATTCTTTTTTTTTATGAAGAATAAAATTATGATATTTGTTTTTTTGGCTTCTCAAGTTAATCTTAATTGCTCTCTACCCTTGCCCCAAGACTACTACAAATCTTTATTTATTTATTTTTGTTGGTCGAAATATTGCTAAAGGAGCTACTCACTCTACATAATTCTAGGTTTTTTAGGGACCATGTAAAACAATAATTAAAAAAAGAATATATATATATATATATATAATTTTGTATATTTGACTTTTGACTTCAAACTGAAAAATATCATTTGACAAGGTAAAAATTGCTTGCGATAAAGAAAGCATCACATCATGAATTATTAAACATGTTTCAATATTAAAAAAATCTCAAACATTTGTACATTATTATAGTTTGATTTTCCAAATGCAATATCAAAATAATTCTTGTAATATTTAAATTTAATCACGGATTTTGATATAAAAATAAATAAATGCTGCAACAAAAAAAAACTCATTCAAAGATCTAAAATAATAATAAAAAGAAAACAAATAAAAATCTGATATTTTTTAAAGAGAGGCGTCAGACTCACATATTCTATTTAGCGAGCGTGCTATTTAGTAAACCACTTTTCAGGCTCATTATATTAGATGAGCGAGTGAATCGTTTTTTTTCACTATTGGACTATACAGTCTCATTTAAGTTAGTCCCGTCTCTTACCAAACATGGGTTTTGAGTTCTATTTAACCCAGTCCAGTCCAGTGAGGCGTACCAAACATGGCCTTAGTGTTCACCCAGTCCATAATGTTGTAAAGCCTCTATTACCAAGGTCTAAAATATCGATGGTATCGGAAATATCGGTAGTCCAAAACCACGGAAATTTCGATGGAAATATCGGGATATTATCGATATCGATAAAAATTGAAAAAAAACCATGGAAATTGTAAGAAAAACTTGGAAATTTTTTATTAAAACTCTAGAGGATGTTTATTTAGTCAATTATCTATTAGTTTATCCCAAAAAATTGGAAGGAAATGCATTGCATGATGGGTTTAACTGATTTAAGTTGATAATATAGTGAGCTGACAAACACTGTGAGTGTAGAAAATATGTAGTAATTAATGAAAGAAGATTAAACACACCATAATCATTTATATATAATTATTTACTATAATATTTTACACTTTATACATTGCATGGTAAGATACATGAGTGATTTAGTACCACATAGAGTTCCTATGAGGTTCAAATTTTTCACTATCTTCATCATCTCTATGTGCAGAGTAAGTGTATTGTGAAGAGTAGTCATCAAATAATAAATCCCCAAAATACTTTTGCATGTAATTGTTAACATGTCACCCATATGGATTCGAGATTGGTTGACGTTGTCCATAAGCAAAATCATTTGATGATTGGATCTTGGATTCTTTCCATGAACCACTCGATTCCATCACAAAAGGGAAAGGTCAAAGACTCACATTCTCATGTGAAAATCTGATTTTTGCAAAAACACTTCAAAACAAAACAATAAAAGTATACATATTTTAGCATATTATCACAAAAACATAAGCAACATGGTGGTTAAGGCGTTGGAGGAGTGAAATGGCAGGGGTTTGAATCCCCCTTGCGTGTGTGCTTTGTGTTTTTTTTTCTTTTCATTTTTTCCATTACTTCGATATTTTCGATATTATAGCGATATTTTGACAAAATATTGCTGAAGTGTGAGCAAAATTATCGACATCGTTATTTTTCGATATTATCGCCGATATTGTCAATATTTATATGATATGTGTATGGATACGTTTCGAAATATCTGTGACCCGAAAAAACGATAATATCCTTGATATTTCGTCGATATTATCGATATTTTAGACTATGTCTATTACAAATATATTGATCCACAATACAATGAATTGGTAAGGGTCGACATTGGAGATGTAAAATAGGATTCTTATTCTAGTAAATATGAGGGTTTACAATTAAGGACATGTGTTACAAGGTTTTGGATACAAGGGTACTATACTTTCGTAAACATGATCCCTAAACTTGTAAGTTACAAGATTTGGGTAGCAATTTATAAGTTTGTTCATCAAGATTACAACGTTAGGGTTCAACTAATCCATAATGTTGTAAATCTTCTATTTATAAGGATATGAATCCACATTATAGGAAATTGGTAATGGTGGACCTTAGAGATGTAAATGGGGGTCCCTATTATAGTAAACACAAGATTTCACAAGATTGAGGACCAGTATTACAAGATTTTGGATACAAGGGTATCATAATTTTGTAAACAAAATTCTTAAACTTGTAAGTTACAATCAATATTTAGGTCATGATTTACAAGTTTTTACAACGTTACGGTTCAGTTGATCCATAGTATTGTAAATCTCTTATTTACAAGGATTTGGGTTCATATTATAAGGAATTAGTAAGAGTGGAACTTGGAGATGTAAAATGGTGTCGTTTTTGTAGTAAATAAAGGGTTTCAAAGATTAAAGACTGGAGTTACAAGGTTTTGGATACAAATGCGCCATAACTTCGTAAAAATGATCCTTAAACTTGTAAGTTATAAGATTTGTGTAGCGTTTTACAAGTTTTTGTACTTCAATTACAATGTTAGGGTTCACACGATCCGTAATTTTGTAAATATCCTAAACTTGTAAGTTACAAGATATGGGTAATGATTTACAGGTTTTTGCACCTGGATTATAACGTTAAGGTTCACCCAATCTATAATGTAATTTACAAGGATTTGGATCCATATTACAAGGAATTGGTAATGTTGGACATTAGAGATGTAAAATGATGTCCTTATTTTGGTAAACACTAGAGCTTAAAAGATTAAAGACCAGAGTTACAAGGTTTTGGATACAGGACACCATAACATTGTAAACAAGATCATTGAACTTGTAAGTTACAAGAATTGGGTAATGATTTACAAGTGTTGACACCCGGATTACAACGTTAGGGTTCATCAGATCCATGATGTTGTAAATCCCCTATTTATAAGGATTTGGATCCACATTATAATGAATTACTAATAGTGAACCTTGGAGATGTAAAATAGTATTCTTATTCCATTAAACATTAGAGCTTACAAGATTACGGATCGGAGTTACAGGATTTTGGATACAAGGGCACCATAAAATTGTAAACAAGATTTGTGAACTTGTAAGTTACAAGATTTTTGAGTAATGATTTACAAATTTTTGCACTCAGTTTACAATGTTAGGGTTCACCTAATCCATGATTTTGTAAATCCTCTATTTACAAGGATTTGGATCCACATTACAATCAATTGGTAATGATGGACCTTAGAGATGTAAAATGGTATCCTTGTTCTAGTAAACATTAGAGCTTACAACATTTGATAATTGATGAAGTATACTTCTTTAATCCTTCGCCTAACGTTTTATCTTCCAGTATAACTTTACTCTCAACCAACAATTACCCATGAAGCATACTAACTCATGTAACAATTTATTGAATAGTGATATTATGTAAGACCCATGAGCTTGTTAATAAGCAAGAAAGGTAAGAATCCGACATCGCTCAAGGAGGAAAACTTGAAATGCCTTATAAGAGCAGTTGACATCTCATGTACATGTTTTGCCCAAGCTAGCATAAGCTTGAGCCTATAAACAAAATCGTGAGGGCCCAGGCCCAACACAGAAAATATCTTACTATAGGGAGTGGGATGTGACACATTGTTCAAATGCCATAATATTTCTAATAACTTCAAATTCAATACCCAATTGAAATGGTGGGATCTTCAGAACCCCTTTGGTTTGATTGAATCTTATGTCAAATCTACTTTTAGCTGGTCATGCCTCAATTTTGACTCCAGCTTTGCATAAATTTATCAAGATGGATATTTTCAATTTGACTGTTGAATAACCCTGATTTAGCTAAATCATCTTCACATACCGATTAGTTGACGACCTTGATCACTCCAAAGATAAAAAATTCGA